AAGTTATAGCATAATAAAGTTAAAAATGTAAAATACAAAATCGAAAATTTTCACACAAAAATAGCATTCGGTAGCCATTTTCACCGTGAAGATAAAATAAAGTCCTAAATTTTTTTTTTGCATAATAAAGAACATTGCATTAGCTTTAATTTAAGATATATATAAAAGTGTCAGACCTTCCGGAACATTTTCAAAAGTTAAGTTGAAAAATCTAATTTTTTGTGAAAAAGTTGTCATTTTAAATCCCCCCTTGTGGGCAGGTTAAGGGTTAAATTTATGAAAAAAATATACCAAATGAAAGGTAATGATATTATGCATCTATATAAAAAAGAATTATATTGATATGTTTATTTTTGAAAAAGTTATNATTATATTGATATGTTTATTTTTGAAAAAGTTATGGCACTTTTAAATAAAAAAAATTGAAAAAATTTCGAAAATTAGCGATTTTTAAATTTGTAATTTTTTTGGAGGTTTCCCCCATTTACGGGGAACGAGGGAATTTTTTTCAATTTTTAAGGGTAATGTCTTCGACTAGATACGATTTGTGATCTTTTGACGTATCATTGAAAGAAATCGGTTCGGTGAGAGCTGAGAAAAAGTGGTAACAGACACAAAAAAAAAAAAAAAAGAACCACATCTTAGTAAAACCAATACCTTCTCAGCTTCGCATCGAAGCTAAAAGTATATTTGTTCTTCTACGATCGTGGTTTTGACTTGTTTAGAATTTATATATTTTATAACATGTTATCAAATATATAATTTCAGGTAGCTGCAGCTACTCTAAGTTATCTTGTTGTAAAAGAAGACGACCACGGTTATATATTTTTGTGGCTTTTTAAACCGTGGTCTATGTAACCTTGATGACTACAAAATGAAGCGCGTGAGCGTATGTCGGTTATTAAGCGTTGCCATTGTTTATTTATAGTTGATCGTGTATTTTTTTCTATCGTCCAATTTCATATCTGCTAGTGGAACGTTTTGTATATATTTTTTGTCAAATGCACAGTGGACTGTTTTGCACATGGTTTTGGTTATTGTCTTAATTTACATTTTTTGTTTTATTAGTGAGTTTTATTATATATAGTATATTTATAATTATTAAATTGATTGCATAATTATATTAGATTATTAGTTTATCCAAATCTGTATAAATATAATATAAATTAATTTATATTATGTCTACCTTAGTAAAGAGTAGTCGTTCTAAAAGAAGAAAAATAAAAAATAGTCTTGATAATATTAATTTATGCCAAGTCGAATCGAGTTATAATTCCACTAATTATCCTAATTTAACTCGGTCTACTCTTGGCTCTGGTGTATCAACAAATTTAATGGTTTCTAAAGATACTACATCCATTTCACTTGATAAAACTGATATTTTAAAGTCTAAAGGACATATTAATACTATCCAAAAACCTGAATATTTAATGATGAACTAGCTGATTGGGCAGTTCATTACAACATACCTTTAAATGCTGTTTAACTTTTGTTGCTAAAAAGTCATAAATGATTTTCCTCATTGCCCAAATATAGTAGAACCTTGTTAGGGACATCTGGTAATCATTATACCATAAGAATTGTAAAGTCTGGGATGTATCACCATTTTGGTATTGCCAAAGGTATACAATTAAATTATGATGATAGTTTAGTTAATTACAGTATTTTCAAATTAGCTGTAGGTATTGATGGTTTACCCTTGGCACGTTCTAGCAAAAGTCAATTCTGGCCCATCTTAGTTTTTATTAGAAATCATAATGTAAAAAAAGTGTTTCCTATTGGCTTGTATCATGGAAATGCTAAGCCTATAGAAAATGATGATTTTTTGTTATATTTTGTCAATAAAGCATTGCATTTAACCAATAATGGATTAAACATCAATAATAAACATTTTATTATTAAATTTGATCTCTTTTGCCTAGATGCACCTGCTAAAAGTTTTATTTTAAAAATTAAAAGCCATAGTGGTTTCAATTTGTGTACTCGTTCACTTCAATTATACAGAAGGTGATGATTTAAACAATTGTGTGTGTTGCTTGAAGTGCATGAGGATATATCCATGTTTACAGTTGAGTCCGAAACGTCAGAACTCAACTGTAAACATGGATATATCCTCAAGCACTTCAAGCAACACACACAATTGTTTAAATCATCACCTTCTGTATAATTGAAGTGAACGAGTACACAAATTGAAACCACTATGGCTTTTAATTTTTANATTGTGTGTGTTTTCCATATAGTACCACTAAATCAACACTAAGAAATGATTATGAATATCGAAATGTAGTACACGAAGAATTTCATACATCTTCTCCATCTATTTTAACTAAAATCTCCAACATTGATTTAACTCGGTCCTTTATATTAGATTATATGCATCTTACTAATTTAGGAGTAATGTGTACATTGATTTTATTTTGGGTTTTGAAAGGCCCATCAACTGTCAACCATCAAGAAATATTAATGAAATTACTTCACGATTGTTGCATATTAAAAAATATGTACCTGTAGAGTTTCCTAGAAAGCCTTGAGAAATTCAAGGTATTTTACAGTGGATAGCTACTGAACTAAGTTTTTTTTAAATTTATGTTGGACCTTTTGTCTTAAAAAATATAATTTCAGAGGATTGCTATTTTAATTTTATGTCACTTAATGTTGCCATGATAATTTTGCTAAGTCCAAATAAAAAAGACTACACAGAATAAGCTCAAGAACTCTTGAACTAATTTGTTAAATCATTTGATAAAATTTATGGTAACTTCAGTATGTCTCATAATGTTCATAGACTTTTACATTTGACTGATGATTATAACAATTTTGGGCCTCTTAATGAATGCAGCTGTTATCCATTTGAAAATTTTATGAAAGAATTTAAGTCAGTACTCAGAAAATGTGAAAAACCATTGCAGCAATTTATCCATAGATATGAGGAACAATGCAATAATGTAAAGAAAAATTTAGGTAATCTTAATTCAGATGATAAATTTTATAAAAAAAAAAGAAAAGAAAATTACATTGCCAAGGTCCCATAATTAATGATGTCATTGGTCCCTAATATCTATTAACTTAATTGTAATAATTTAATAAAGTCTCCTTAATTTTCTTAATCAACAAAAATCTTTTTATTGCGTAAATATCTTCAATATTCACGTGTATCTTATTTTTTTTTCCTTTAAATAATTCTCTCTAGTTTTAAGGTAACGGTCTTCGACATACTAAAGTATGTCCACCACTGGTGACATCAAATAAACATATTGTTTTATTTACAAGGTATCAGCGTATTATAGTCTACAATAACACTTTATATCTTAGTATATATATATACATACATATAATTTTTTATATATTATTATAATATATAAATATTATTATTATAATAATATTGTTTAATATTATTGATTTACTTTTTGTTTCGTTTTTTTTTTTTATGATCAAGACCATCGCCTAATTGGTTGGCGACCCGATTTTCCTTTTGTAAGGGGCCATGAGGGTGGCGACTCTACAATCCGTTGCGTTGCCCAAGTCGTCACCTCTCAAGGTTTAATCATTTTTTATTTACTACACATTTATTTATATTAATATATATAATTGTGTATTAAAATATTATCTAAGTATATAATGATTATTTTATACATGAAATAATCATTATGTTATAAGATTTTATAATCAGATAATGATCGTTAATCAGTTAGTGTATATAATTTATCATGTGTTATAAAGTTCATCTTAAAAATTATAGTTAGCTAAATTATGTGGACAATCGTTCATTTCACACAAGATAACACTGTCAAAGCAGTTTCAAGTACTTGGCTCAACAAAGTTACAAATGAATGTGCTTGGCCCAATAAAATAATCAGTTCTACAAAATCATACACTACCTAATAGTTCAGATTAGAACTTAATTTTTTCTGCCATAATATCTCTTTTCAATATAATATTTTTTTACAGACTTTTATGAACAAGCAAAAAGCAAAGAAAAAAAATAGCACAGGAATCTTCAGATTTATCACTAATTGAAATTATGAAAGAAACGAGAAAAAACAGAGCTAGAATAGAATTTTCTCCTTTTCCTAAAAAGGCTCAAAGATAAACCAAAAATAAAATCTCACCTTCTAAAGCTTTTAGTTAATCCAATCTAATATTATAAATTGTTAAAACAAATATTGAACACATGTTTATTTATCATTTTAACAGAGAACGTGGTTGTTGCTGAAAATTCAAGTAATCATATAGAATATGATCATGTTTCTGATGATGACAGTTTAAATTAAGAAGTAACATAATAAATTCTTATTACTACTTGTTATATTAATTAATTTATTTTTATTTAGGCCCTTGTCCTAACTCTACCTTGAAATCTATAAATTTTCCTACAGAAACAAAGATTGTTACTGACAAGTTGAATTATAATTCAATAGTTCCTAATAAATATACATCATTAGAGAAAAATTTCCAACCATCTACACAGAAGAAAGTAAAAGTACCATTTGATAATGAAGGTGAAAATTATTTTAATAAATCTTGTCTTGCTACTATAAAATAAGTTTTTGTGATAAATATATTATCAAATTATATAGTTTTACTGTTGTAATATATATATGTTATAATGTAATTATTATAATAATATTGATACATAATAATATGTAATGAAAATAACATTACATATCGTTATTATTTTAGGAGAAATCTGTTGAATAATTAAATTTTGATGACCTGTATATTAGCTATACCTTAATATGTATAAAAGTATAGCTAATAAATAATAAAATTTTAGATTTTCAGAAACATGTTGCAACTTTGACACATATTAAGTTTGATGTTAATGTATTGACTTCTACCCAACAAATTATTAGTGCTAATATTGAAGCTATTGCACTTACAAATTATAGTAGAAATGATACCTTTCAAGCAACTCAAATTATAATAATGTTGATGTCAATGAACTATTACCAAATAATACTCGGAAAGATCTTGAAACATTTGAATTGAAGCTCAAGATAAATGAAAATGACTTCAAATGCATACTTGTGAATAAAATAACTTTATTGCTTTACGTATTGTGGATACATAAATTAATGTCTTTAGAATGACAAAATTTTATAACAAAACTTGTAGTTCCATTTTAATACTTTCTCAGGTTATATTAATTGTCGTATAATAGTTAATATTATTATTACAAAACGACAAAAGATCATCTAAATAATTTTCACTTAAATTAACAAACTGTTATTTATAATAATGTTAAAAAAATTCTCATGAATTTACTAAAGAAATATTCAGTTGTTGTAAAATACAGGGTCATCAGAATTTAATGTACCAAAAAGCAGATTTCTTCCAAAATAATTATGATTTTTTTATATTAATTGGTTTCTTTTATTTATCAATTATTATTATTTAAATGTTTATCAATTTATAAATCATCAAGCATCTTATAATGTATAGCTTTTTTTTAAAAATCCTATTATTAACCAAAGTACTGAGAGAGTACAAAATTACCATAACAAATATTTATATTTTCAGTGTTTGATAATGTTCCAAAAAACCAGACTTTTATAAACCTACTTCTTTAAATCAAATTAAAGCTAATACAATGTACTCTTAGATGAAAAAAAAAACTACAAAATCTGGATATCTAGGTGCTGCTGTCCTAATGAGCATTAAAACCAAAAATGGTTTCATGAAAGTTAATTTAATCACTGTTAGATATCAATCAATAGTAATTGATTTATAATAAAATGACAGATTATTATAAAAATCTAAAAATGCCTCAACTCCATTTTGCAAAATCCCTATTATGTTTTTTTCTTTTTAATTAAATATTTCATATATTAACAAATATAATATTTTTGTTTTTCTAGATAAGAAAATTATCTTTGCTCACATCTTCCAAAAGCCTTGGAGAATCAGTGAGGCGTATTATGACAAAAATGTTTCATGATTCAGTATTAGTTAATTTTTCAATTTATGGTTTTAAAAAGAAACAAAGATTTGCTGATTTACTATCATATCATTTGATAAAAGGTATTAATACAACTGATAAACATGTTATTAAAAGCTTTGTTTTAAAGCCTATTATAAAAAGAGCAATGCAACTAAAAAGTAGTCTTAAAGTTAAACTAAACTAAAGAGAGGAAAATAAACATTTTTTTTATCAAGAATTTTATAAAAATAAATAAATTATTATTTACTTATCATTTAATAAATTTTAATAATGTCATTGTTTTATAATTATTCAAGTTTAACACATCTATCAATAAACCAATGACTTTTCAAATATAATAAGGACTAATATCAAGTATGAAATGGTTCCTGAAAAAGAAATTGACTGTGAAATTGGTGTGTGGTTAGCTCATGCAAGTTTCCATATCATAAATTGTGAAAAAAGATTAGCCAAATAATACTAAAATATTTTTAAGTAGTTTTATATTCCATTCTTCACAAATTATAATTAGTGAAGTATAGAACATACATGAATGTGTAATAATTGAATTATTTACATTATAAAGTAAAAAATTATGTTTCATTTTTAACAGTTTAAACCAGCTTAATTTTTTTTTTAGCTTCGATGCGAATTTTAATCAAGAATGTGTTGAAATTTTAATTTGAATTGTTGAAAATCAATTATTTTAATGTTACTTTCTTAATGAATATGTTAAGATTATTAATTTTACCTGTTTAAAACCAATTATTTTAATGTTTTTAAATTTATAAATATGTTGTACCTCATTAATATGAGGTTGTTTTAAAACTTATACAGTTTAATGATTATTTTACATAAATATAATTTTTATTAAAAAAATGTTTTTTTTTCAAATTGGTATCCTATTGGTAATAATACTACAATATTGCTGTGATGTTATATGACCATATAATATTACAGCAATTTGAGTGAAATATAATACTAACACCAATATTATTTTTCAAATGTTATCAATAAACAAATAAAAATATTACATCAACATTATTTCGGTGGCCAAATAACTATAGGGTAATATTGTTATGTTTCTGTAATCAAAATTAATAACCTCTTAAAATTAAACTAATATTATTATAAAATTAATTTTATAACAATATTTAACATTAAATTGCTATGTGGGAATATAGATGGTCTCCTAATTGCTGAAAGTTCTAAGATCCAACTTTGGCCTATTTTAATTTTTTTTTATTTTTTTTTAAAGAAGTACCAAATAATGTTATTTCTATAGGGTTCTTTGACGTTTTACATAAACCCATTCATTATTGATTTATTAGATGTGTTATATAACGGGTGTATTGTTAATGATACTATATTTTTATTACAAATAGCAAATATGTAATGCTCCCATAAAAGCTTTTTTGCTTAATGTAAAAGGCGACAATGCATACTTTGACTGTACATTTTCTGATTTAAATTCACCTTTGAGAACTGATGGATCTTTTCGAAATAGAACTAATGATTATCACAAAGGGATTAGCCCTTTATTTAGACTACCAATTAACATTACTGAAACAGTTGTTTTGGATGACATACACAATGTTTGCTTAGGGGTAGTCAAAAGGTTAATTCAATTATGGGTAAAAGGTAATAAAGAAGTACGATTAGAAAAAAAAATAGAAGAAATTAGTTATGAAATAAAACATATTTAGATCTAATTATCTTATCTTCGTTAAAAAAAACACGCTTTTATAGCAAATTAAAAAGTTAAAAATAATTTTTAAAATAAGGTTAAAACAATAACGTACGAAAAATACTAGTAATATTGTGAAAAAAAGCGTTGAGGACTCAATAAACGAAAAATATGACTCAAAGCACCCACGCTTTTTTTCACAATAGTACTAGTATTTTTCGTTCGTTATTGTTTTAAGCTTATTTTTAATTTGTTAATTTGATGTGGTTTAAAAGAGTGTTTTTTTAGTTTTTTTAAACTATATTTATTTAGTTATAACAATACATAGAAACAAGAAAAAATTATTTGAAGAAAGTTTTGAAAACTTATTTGACATATTGATAATGAGTATTTGCATTAAAATATTCTAAATATGATATAGGAAGATAAATTTTTTGTTATTAAAAAGACTTAAGGACATTTTGGCTGTACGTTAGTCGAAAATAAAAAAAAATAAAAGGCAACAGTGTACAGACTTATAGAAACTTGTATAAATAATTTCTATCAATGAATTAATTTTATAAATTATAATTAAATACTGTAATAATAAATCGGTTTCGTGCACGTGCTGTAGCTTCCCCCCCCTAGACTCTGGGATTTCTCTATGTATGCATTGAAATACACAAACGGTAATTAAAGCATTTCCAAACTTTTTGAATACATAGTTTATATATTATCTCATATCTGTACTAATTATTGCTTATTTTGATAGTACATATAGAATTATTATAATGATGACAACAAACATAATTAAGTTAAAAACGTTTGTATAGGAATAAATTCGAACAATGTTTTGATATACAGACAAAAATTATATGATATAATGAAAAGTTCTAAATGTGAAACTATTGATGAAAAATTTAATTTTATAAAAATAGAAATAGAAAAACCTGTATCAACAAGATATTGTAGGATTAATATAAAAATTGAGTTTATAAAAGAATCTACGGAGACATCTATATCTGAGAAAAAAATAGTTCAGTCAAATAAATAAGTTATTTAATAGTACTGGGACTTTTGATAATAAATCATTTACTGTAATTCACAATTTGATTTTAGCAATGGTTAATAGAAAAATATGTAATGCACTAACAGATACGACATCAACACTTAAATGTTTCTTGTGTGGTGCAACATCGAAACAGTTTAATTTAATTGATGAAATGGTTAAACGAGAGGTAAAAACTGATAATTTATCTTTTGGGATATCAGTTTTACATGGGAGGATTCGTTTTTTCGAATGTCTCCTTCATTTGTCTTACAAATTACCACAAGAAATGGCAAGCTAGAGAAGATGTGGAAAAAAAATTGTTTCAGAAAACAAACTTAGAATCCAAAAAGAATTCAAAGAAAAATTAGGATTATTTGTAGATAAACCCAAACCAGGATTTGGAAATTCTAATGATAGTAACACAGCTAGACGTTTTTTTCAAAATTCAGAAATTTCTACTGAAATTACAAAATTAGACATTGAATTAATAAAAAAAATACATATAGTAATGATAGTAGTAGCTAGTTAACACAAAATAAAAGTCAATGAGT